CTCAATCCCTCCAATAATTCTTGCTAGTTCTTGAGGAAAGAGAGAGAGGAGATCTAGACCTACATTTCCACCAATCACTTTCTCCTCTATGCGAGGGGAACCCCTTGGATCTAGATCTTGGAGTTTTTGTGTGTTCTTCCTCTAATTTTTCTCCATAGCATTAGTTGTTGTGGTGGGATTTGCGAGAGAAGGACTTGGGCACTCCGTTTGCCCTTGCCATTGCATTTGATGCACATGTTTGAGTTCTCCATGGTGATACGTGGAAGTGAAGTTTGAATAGCTTATTACTCTTGGGTACTTGGTACTCTAGAGCTTGTTCCTCTTGGGTGTTTGGGCGCCCTAGACGGTTAGTGGTGTCTCGGAGCTCAATCATTGTGGTGTAAAGCTCCAGACAAGCATCGGGGTCTCCAATAAGAGGTGGAGATTGCCCCGTGCAATTTCTACGTGTTTCGGTGACCGCCCCCAAGGGTTGACAATTGTATGGGTTCGGTGACCGCCCTCAAGGGTCCATAGTGTGGAACCATGGTATCTTGCATCGTGCGAGAGCGTGAGGAGAATACGGTGGCCCTACTGGCATTTTGGGGAGCATTGTGCCTCCACACCACTCCAAACGGAGATTAGCATCCGCGAGGGTGTGAACTTCGGGATACATCATCGTATCCGCATGCCTCGGTTATCTCTTACCCGAGCTCTTTACTTATGCACTTTACTTTGTGATAGCCATAGTGGTTCATGTTATATATGTTGCCATCACTTAGTTGTTTATCTTGTTTAGTATAAGTTGGTGGTGCACATAGGTGAGGCTAGTTGGTTTAGGTTTTGTGCTTGACAAATTCAACACTGGTTTTATGCTGTATTTGTTCAAGCCTAAACCATAATTATTTTAAAGCGCCTATTCACCCCCCTCTAGGCGACATACACGATTTTTTGTCCGCTCCTTTCCTCCTCCTTCCTTCCACTAGTCCCGCAACTCGATGACAACCCTTCCTAATTCCATGATCTCCTCCAACAGGTCGCTGCTCATAGGTCCAGCGATCCTCTCATCACTCTCATTTCCAATCAAAACTCCCTCCTTCCCTTTGCTCTTATCTGACCCAAGAATTGAGATCTTTCCCCTTCATCTGGTTACACACTCACGTGGATTTAGAGATGCCATAAGAACCCCAAGAGCCTTCTCCCTCAACCTCTCCCACTTCCCTTCTAACCCCATTTCGGCGAGGCAAAAACCCTGACATACCAACTCAATCTCCCTTCCTTTGAAGATTGGAACCGCCTCGTATGTCATTCCTACCATCGTCGTTCTACGATTGTTGATGTGTCAACGTCTCAGTTCTGCCCCACGTCTCCTGCCACTAACCCTGGCCGAAATCCTTGAGGCAGTTGGCGTCATGCATATTATATCAATTCCTGTCCCCGCAATTTGGCCAGGACAATTTTGTGGAATGAAGCTATACAAACAAAGGGAAAATTTTAGGTTAACGACCCCTTTTTCTAAAGTGGCAGGGGTCATCAAACACATACTTTTCCTATGCGAGACCGACGAAGGGTGCTTGGTAAGCATTAGGGTTGGAAAACATTGCACAAGAAGCATGCAAATGTCGTTAGATCAATCTTTTTTGCTGCTCGGGAACATCTATCGTGGCTCCCGGAGATGCATTTGTCAGTTTTGAACCAAATTAGGCTTCGGGAGAACTTTCACCGCGACAATCCTGGTATATTTGATGGGAAAGACGTCCGCTGGTGCATGGCGGACCCATACACATGTTTACCTGAACCACCACGTCAACCAAAGCCGACGTAGAGAATTTGACGAGGGCTCGGCGGAACGTAAGCAAAACCAAATCCTCCTGCACTATGTTCGAAGGAGATATCCCAAAATTCAAACTGTGGACATGTAATAAGTATTTTGAAAAAAAAAATCAGGTTTTGTATTATATACTCCCTCCGTTCCTAACTATAAGTCTTTTTAGAGATTTTAATATGGACTACATACGAATGTATATAGACTTATTTTAGAATGTAGATTCACTCATTTTGCTCCGTATATAGTTTATATTAAAATCTTTAGAAAGACTTATATTTAGGAACGGAGGTAATATATATGAGTATAAAAAATGCCCCAAAGACCAAGGTATTTTGGTGAGGAAGAAAAATTATCCATATACCCCAAAACTCCACTCCTCTTTGCCGTACCTTTCTTTCCTCTCTCTCTCTCTCCATTCCGAGTCCTGACCTACCAACGCAATCCCTCCCTCCCTCCCTTCCCCCTCCGAAGATCGGAGCCGCCTCGTCCGCCGTCGCCGCCGTCGCCTCGCCGTCCTACAGCCTCCGCCGCGCCACACCTCAGCGCCGACGCCCCAATCCCGCCTCCCGCGCCCCCCGCCCTCCCGCCTCTCGGGGTCGTCGCCGCCATCGCCGTCCCCGCCCCTCCTCGCCGGCACGTCGCGCGCGCTCCTGCCGTCTCCGCCCCGTCCCAGTCTCCGGCCACTGGGTCTCCTCGGAGGTACGAGCTAGGTTGGTTCCATCCAGCGATTCCCCTAGCTAAATCCCACTAGGGGTAGGGCTCGACCTGCACGATTCCTGGGTGTGCCGCGCCGGCGCACACCCGGCGCGCCGTCTAGATCCGCCCCTGCCCAAGGCCGCGGTTAGCTCTCCGTCGGGACACGTGCCGCGTGTTTCCCCATTTCTTCGCCGCCCTGCCCTGGGGTTTGTTTGCGGTCTGGGCACCCCTTGTGAGCCCAGTATGGGATTATGGACTCTTAATTGTTCTCTTTGATGGAGAAATGTGGTGTGTCTGTTTCATCTGAGTGTGCCGGATTCATGTTTTAGGCTTACTCGGTACCGTGAGAATGTCCAGTCAGTGTAACTGTTATGGGCTGTTTGACCGGTTGCCACTGTATGTTTTATTGGTGTGCAATCATAGAGGACCGAAATGAGTAACCACTTTGTGCACATTACCTGCTTGATCGTGATATTCTCGTTCTTGGAAATATGGTAAATGCTTTTCTGTTGGATTGGATTGAACTGAGATTTTGAGAATGTCATAATCAGGATGAGAACATCAATGTAATGATGTTTCTGTTGTCAAATAGCCTTCTGTGTTGTAATGTTATAGTTTTACCTTCCGTACGCACATTTGCAAAATGTGTCTTATTGTCCTATTTCTATTTCTATTTTTTCTGATGACAAATATGAGGTCATTTTTTTGGCTGAGAAATGTAAGCTTGTTGGTGCTAATCTAGATGTCTACAAATATATTCGTAACCAAAATTAGGAAAGTTCAATCCCACTGCTCCATTGTTTTGCTGCTAGATGTGCATGGTACGAAAGAAAATGGAGTAGGGATGTAAATCTGAAGTATCTTAAATGTTCCCTTGATCCATGGACTGGCATGTTTTACATAATCCTGTTATTGTTCGAAGTGGGCATCGAATAGTTCAGTCTTATAGCCTTTTTTAGTGTGTTGATATTTGAAAGGGGAACAGGGCAATGTGTTGCCACTCCTGCTGTTGTTAGAGCGCTATATTTTATTGTTAATCATGCTATGTTCCAAACTCCTTTTTATTCTGCTCATATGATATTGCTCACCTTTTGTTTTCTGTCCTGATGCCTCATGTATTTACAGTAGTAATGTTCTAAATTTAGTGTTTCTTGAACATGGTCAGGGCAATGGATAAAATCTAGATCCTAAGTTGACTTTTTTCCCGCGGATTTGCTTATCGTGAAGATGCACAAAGGGTCTATAGCTCAAGCATTGGATGCTGACAAAATAGAAGTTCCTTCACCAAAGGAAGAAAGTAATTCCACCGATTCGGAAGCTGCTACAGATACTGAAAACTTTGAAATTAGTGATGACGACGATGATGATCGTAATCACAAGCACCGAAGAAGAGAGGCTATGCCTCAACCTTTTGGTGAGAGTATCGAAGAGCAAGCTGCAGGGAGGCCTTTTAAAAGAAGGCCCAGGATTTCTGGTAATGGGCAGCCTTTTGGTGGAGCTGATTCACGTGGGGAAGCACAGAACAACTTCATACCAAAATTCAAGAGGCGTCCTGGACCAGGAGCTCACAGTCGGGGAGGTAGAGTGAACCAGTCCTTCCATTCAGCTTCTGCTGCTGCTCGCCCTCCTATGGCACGGGGAAGAGGACGGAATGGTGCACCCTGGACTCATCATGACCCAAGATTTAACACACTTGACATGATTGATTTTGCATCACAGATGGCCTCACAAGGACCACCCACACATCCTAACTTATTTATGGGTCCTCCACTGCCGAGTGGCGGTGGTGCTCAAAACGGTCCGTGGGGTCCGTATGGATTTATGCCTGGAATGCCTAATGGAATGATGGATCCAATTCACCCACTTGGAATGCAGGGCCCTATTCAGCCTCCTTTAATTGATCTTGGCATGCCTCGTCAACGTTGTAGAGACTTTGAGGAGCGTGGATTTTGCTTGAGAGGGGATATGTGCCCCATGGAGCATGGTGTAAATAGAATTGTTGTCGAAGATATGCAGGTCAGTCTGTTTCTTGATCTTCAGAGAATATTCTGCATTACATCCTGCACTTTAGTGTTATTTCAATCGCAGCATTGAAATAGTATGATCTATTACTTCACATTTTCTGTATCATGAGGACCACTGCCACGTTGTTCCAATATAACCGTAGCCTTGAAAGGTGTCCTCTAAGTGCTGTTACCATTGATGATTTGAATTGCAATTAACGTTCTTCACAATTGCAATTAACTGAGTAGTGTCAACGAGCGTCGGATTCAGACCCCACTATGTTGTAACACTTGCTTGCCTGGACTATTTTCTATACTGCAGCATTTTATGTTCTGATAGTTCTTTGACCTTACTTGGCTTGAAATAATTTTCTAAATTATAATGACTTTGTTATACTGTTCTTATGCAATACAAGCTAAAGTTCCTGTGGACAAGTATTACTGTATGCATACTGTCAACTCTTGGAAGATTCCAGATCTCAATATGATGTAACTAGCATGTTTTGGAGTAATTTATTCTTCTGGCTATTATTTAACTTTGTTAAATTCTGCTGTTCTTTCTACAAAAACTTCGTTATACCGTGCTTTTGCAAGCTGAGGTGATGTTTTTGTGGCCAAGTAGTTACTTTTTTTGCTTAGGTCAATACATTGATTTTTAATAGAGTAGTTTTTAAACACTTTGCAGAGCCTATCACAGTTCAATCTTCCAGTCTCAGTTCCAAATGCTCCAGGACTAGGAATCCAAAGTGAGACAGGAACTGCTCATGTTAACTTAACAAACCTAGGGGGCAGTAAAGGTGTTCCTGCAAAAGATATCAAATCTGGTGTGGCAGATAACCCATCGAAGCTAAATGGAAGCACTGCTTCAGCTGTTGCTGATGCAGATGTATATGATCCTGATCAGCCCCTGTGGAACAATGAACGGCCTGAAGCATCTAGTGCTGGTTTTGCACATACTAATGATGGAATATGGAATGCTGAAACCTCAAGCTATGAAGCAGGGTGGGAGCATGCAAATCAGGGTTTTGCAGCTGATGATTCACAAAATCCAAAGTCTTCTGTTTGGGGGAGAATAGCATCAAAGAGAAAACCCGGGCCTGGCAAAACAGCTAATACTACTTCGACGAGTGCAACTGGAAACCAAAGAAGTGACTACAATGATGATATGGCTCCTAGCACTGTCCAAGTAAAGCCTGCTTCTATTAAGGATACTAATGGTCGACCCAGTTCAAGAATGTCTGCAGATGTGGGCCGGCAAAGTAATAGTAGGACCTCTCACAAAGCATCTCGCACACTTTATGTAAATGGCATTCCACCAGAAAGTAACAGATGGGAGGCCCTTCTGTCGCACTTCGAAAAATTCGGTCAAGTAATAGATATATATGTTCCAGCTAACAGTGAGAAAGCTTTTATCCAGTTCTCTAAAAGGGAAGAAGCTGAAGCTGCCCTAAAAGCTCCAGACGCTGTGATGGGAAACCGTTTTATAAGGCTATGGTGGGCGAACAGAGACAGGATTACTGACGAGGGAGATGGTAGAATCTCTGCGAAACCTCCTCTGTCAAATTCTGCCCTTCCCCAACCATCTTCATCCAACAGAGGCAAGGATCTTCAATCTACAACTCCAAGGGCCAGTTCTGGATCTTCTGCATCAGGCCCTGGTATAGGTCCTAAAAAGTTGCCTGCCAACAGTATAACATCAATACCTCCCCCTGCTCCCAAAAGGCAAGAAAATCTGGAAATGCTGGAAGCAATTCGTAAAAAACAAGATATGTTAGCTCAGCAGCGTGACGAGTTACTTCAGCGGTTAGAGAAATATGCGAAACAAGTACTTACTATTTCCTTTGATAATACTTTGGTTTCAATTTTTTTTGTTATCTATATAACCTATGTGTTTAGCTGAACAAATTGTCATTAGTACTGGTTTCTACTAATGCAGACAAGTTCAGCAAATTCAGTAAAACAGGCAGAGGCTGGTGGAAAAACAGTTGGGTCAAATGCTGTGGGGAAAGTGGGCGATGTCAGTTCCATGAACACTGGGACAGAAGGGCCGCAAGAGGTCGCTGGTACACTGGAAAAGAAAATTTCTGGGGAGATGGCTTCATCTTCCCCAAAATATGCTCCAACATCCACACAGAAACCAGCTGTAGCTGCGAGGCAGCTGTCTCCTCTGTTAGCACCACCGCAGAATAGGTTTAAGCTTGACAACCGGACCACATCGTTTAGGATCCTTCCTCCTTTGCCACCTGAAATCGCAAATGTAAGTGGACTACCTAACCTCTTGTCCTTCCGTCATTGATCTTCTTAACCAACCAAAAAGGGTGAACTAAACATGCTTAGAAGCACAGCTCCCTATTTTCTTTTCACAATAGAGATCAAACACTGAAATGTATAGGTGGGGTACCTGCTTTTGCTTAATTTTTGGCATCCTTACCATTTAATGAAAGCTACTCTTGCACTTGTTTGATGTTATCCTTTGGATCTCAACCCTGTCTAGGTGTTGAGGTTAGATCATCTGGGTTTCACAAGCACATTCCATCTTGAAAATATGGGTTAAGAAAGTTTTTGTGTATTGTGCTATATTAATACGCTACTGCAATTTCTTTGTTATGATCTTTATTCAGTTACACACAGTTGATCTTATTTTGCTATGGCAGTTGCCAGGGTTCAGTTATGTTTTTTTTGGTAATCATATATGTGCTTAAGATTACTATTATTTTATTCTCCGATTAGATGTCATACATCCACTCAACAGAACAGATATTTTGGTATAAATAGCTTCTATTTTGCTTTGCTAGTGTGTTTGTCATTTCTGCTTAACTTGCATTACAATAATATTCATTGGCGAATCCTTGGTATAGTGTTTTGTCTCCAGTTTCATGATGATACTTTTGATTAAGAGAAGCTTTGGTGTGACTGCGAGTATTGTTTAGACAGTGGCTGAAACCTGCCCACCAAAGTTTTCGGTCAAAAAAAATCTGTCCATCAAATTATTATTATTTTTGGCCATGACTCTAATTTTGGTCTTTGTTTGGATAGTTGCCGGGTTTTTTGGCATGACAATGGCTCTTTGCCCATTCTAGTTCATTTTCCTTGCCAACATAGCCGATGCCAAACATAATCTGTACATAATAACTTGTCTTTTCATGTTCAAACAAATGTAACTTGTCTTTTTATGTTCAAACAAAAAACTATTAATTTTCTCCATTCAGAAGAGTAAGATGTTGAAGAAACTAAAGCCCGATGTATACTTGTGCTAACTTTGACTGATCATTCATGTTCCCTTTTGTGCTGATGTGCTTGATTATGAGCTGTTTCTTCTACTTCTGATGTCTTTGACTACTTTGTTTACAGGAAACTGTCTTGAAAGATCATTTTGCAGCATTCGGTGAGCTTTCATCTGTTGTACTGGAAGACACCGAAGCCCACAACCATGATACAACCTTAAAGCCTTCCCTGAGTTGCTCGGCTTGTGTGACGTATGCAACGCGGCAATCTGCTGAGAAAGCATTTATTAGTGGCAAATCTTGTAAAGGGCACATGCTACGGTTTATGTGGTTGACGGCCTCTCCTGGCTCTAATAACCAATCAATACCTCAGAAAAGTTTAATTCCCGTCAGGCCCACTGGCATCTCAGGCCAAACTGGCAACATGACATCTGAGTCCCAAAGCCCTGTTGGGAAAATCTCATCTGCTGCCACATCTGGTACAGCAGCCATTCCTTATAGTGAATCCGTTCCAAGTGCAGAAAGTTCAAAGACATTTCCTATTGGGATTTCCAAAGAATTATCTTCCAGTTCCTCTCTATCATCAAATGTGGAGTGTCCTCCTGGAAATGATTCCACAATGAATGCCGTCTTTACAGACCCTGGTGTTGCGCAGTGAGGTATGCTGCACTTTTTGTTGGAAAAGAGTTGTGGTTCATGGCAAGGTTTGAAATATTTATTTTTTATTTTGCTTGTTATATGTATAATATATAGAACTATGTGTTACACTGCTACTACTTGCCTACCTGTTGAATAGTTTGAAGGAAATCATCGATACCAGCTTATACCACTAGTTGGCAGAATAGCTGGCAGGATTAAAGTATGACATAAGCTTGTGATTTAGCATAGGAGCTGGTCACTCAGGTGATGTGCAGGGTGTGAAAAACTGGTGGGAACCAAGTGGTTCCCTCAGATTTTTAGTTTTTAGGACCCGGTAACATAACAGCAATATTTCTAGGAGCTGAATTTATAATTTTGAGTCCAATTTGATGAACAGTTGTTATGTGCCACATGGAGTCTAATTCAGATCGTGTGTGCTATATAAATATGCAAACTGAAACTGACTTTTTTTTTTGGCTCTGCCAGGAGCCGGTTCCAGCTGCCTTTATTTATTTATTAGGAAAATATGTTCTCCCTAATGCCTGTAAGCAGTTGCCTATCAGCTATCATGGGACGTTAGTGTACATTGTTCTGAAACAAAACAGTAAAGCTCAGTAGGTACGAGATTTATCACAAAATAGCTTCACATAAAATGTTTATGATGTAACAGAAAACAAGGAATATTACGGAAATATTGTGTAAACGAGCTGTTGGTTGATATATTACCTCTTTGGGTGTCGATTTTTGTAGCAGACTAGTTAAATGCTTGTGCATTGCTATGGATGTTACTAAACACTTGTGCCACCATAGTTCGTGAGTAGTTGAGTTAGTATAAAATAGGATAAATTAACTCAAAATATAGATAAGTCCAATCAACCATATGTAGGGTAATTTCTTAGTAATAACTTGAGAGATGAACTGAACGTCACCTACACAGATCTTTATAATAGTATAAAGATAAGTTCATTCCCTCAAAAAAGTGTTCATGCCTGCTTTTATTATTAAGGTCCTATTTCTTGTACCGTTAACAGTGCTAAGGTACATGCTATTGAGGCTTACATACTGACGACTAGTTTACTACTCCCTCCGTCCGGAAATACTTGTCAGAGAAATGGATAAAATGGATGTATTTAAAACTAAAATTTGTCTAGATACATCCATTTCTCTGACAAGTATTTCCAGAAGGAGGGAGTACAATTCTACAAAAGTTGCTGCCAGTAGCCAACATGTACTCCCTCCGTTCCGAATTACTTGTCGCATGTATGGATGTATCTAGATGTATTTTAGTTATAGATACATTCATTTCTGTGACGAGTAATTTGGAACGGAGGGAGTATTTATTAACTTAAATTGTTGATAAGTTAGAATATGCTGATTGATATGGTTATCTTGTCAATACTAGATTTACCGAGCTTGTTAAACCATTGTTTAGCTTGTCCATTATTGTTATCTTGCACATGAGTAAATTTATCACATATAATTCCAGATGATTTTCACACTGTGTGGTATACTGGTATATATCAGTATAAATATTCTTATATGGGATTTAATTCTAAGGCATGGGCATACCGATGGCTGGTATGTGGCGGGGTGATGGGGTCGCTTGTGTGGGGGCTGTGGCAAATAGATTGCAAGTCAGGCTCATCAGACATGAGCTTATAACTCTGTCAGCCTAAACAAAACATGATGCTAGCGCTAATTACCGCTGCTAGTTTTGCTGCTTTTCCTTATAGTTTTCACAGTTGCGTTTTACCCCTGCGATGTAATACCGCAAATTGTTTCTGCTGTTGGAAAACCTTAAATTGTAGCGCTAATATTGTTTTTCTCACAGGTGCTGGAGCGGAGCGGATCGAGAAGAGCCGACGGGATTCTGACACTTCTTTTCGGTGGCTCGTCTACACAGCGAGTCTTTACAGAGTCGGTTGGAACATATGTTAAATCATACATGGAACCTGCGAAGACCTGGGCGATTGATTTACTGATCTTGGGGGGAAGGGGAACATATACCGGGCATTTTACAGACAGCGTCGTCGCCCATTCTTAGTTTATTATGAGTGAAATGTAGATTGTGTTTTGGTTACTGTACCAATTCGATATCAGGTCAGATAGCATCATCATCCGGCCGAAAGCGGCTGGCATTGTGGTTGGTTTTTGTTGCCGAAATTGAAATGTATGCATTTGGGTGGATCTGCCTGTCCATGTCTCAGCAACAACTTCCGGTCAAGAATCTCTGAACTTGTGCATATTGAACGATTGGATTCAAGGATCAGTCCCCTTGAATGAAGAAATTTTGTACCTAGTATGTCTTGCCATGCTTTGTGATCATGTTTTTATGTCGTTTTGAATTTGTTTGAACGCCGTATCTATTCCTTCCTTCCCATCGATGTTGTTTTAGAAATGATGCCAGCCATCATCACGTGATACCATGGTACATGTTTTAAAATAAAATCTTGTAGATGTTTTAAAAAGTTCTGAAAAAATCATGAATTTTCACAAGATAAATCAAATCCAAAATCGAAATACACATGGAGGGCAAAAAAGCCAAACCCAAATGTGAAGAGTGCGATTTTTGCTCGTCTTCTTTTGAGACTTTATGGCGGGTTTGTTCAAATTTGGATTTGAAATTCTAGGAACATGGCTATAGGGGTGAGGATCCCTGCCTTAAGTGTTCGCTGTTAGGTACTCCCTCCGGTCCTTTTTACTTTGCATATTAGGTTTGTCCGAAGTCAATCTCATCCAACTTTGACCAAGTTTGTATAAAAAATTATAGACATTCACATAACAACACCAATATCATTAGATTCATCTTGGAATATATTTTCATATTATATTTATTAGATATTATAGATGCTAATAATTTCCAATGTAAATTTGGTCAAACTTAACAAAGTTTGACTTTCGGCAAATCCAATGTGCAGAGTAAAAAGGACCGGAGGGAGTAGAATGACTGAGTTTTACTCGGATTACACCCTGCGAGTCAAACACTGAGGGCGGGGTTCGCCACCATTGGTGGTAGAACTAGATGAAATATGCTAGGGAAGCGAAAGACAAAATATTGCTTCATGTTTTAGCAATCCCAGTTTAGATATTCTACCTCCTTTTAATAATAATGTGGAAAACATGACAGATTGTCCAACCATGCTAGACAAAGAAGAAATTTTGCAGGTTATTAAGGGGATGAAAAGGAATGCTTCTCCAGGACCAGATGGTCTCAGTGTGGCTTTCTACCTTTCAGCTTGAAAGTGGATTGGAAATGACGTAACCAAGTTGGTAAAAGATTTATACATCACAGGTAAACTTCACCCTCAACTCAACAAAGCTTATATTACTTTAATTCAAAGAAAGAAAATGTTAAGAGCCCTCAAGATTTGGGACCTATTAGCCTATGTAATGTAGTGTATAAATTCATTACCAATACTATGGCTAATAGCCTTAAGGATCACCTGCCTGATTACATACATGAATGCTTGCAAACTTTTACCCAAGGTATAAGAATTACTAATAATATTATTGTTGCTCAAGAAATTACTCTCTTTTCAGCTTGCCTCGTGGAAACACAAAGCTTTCACGCTTAAAATAGATCTGGCTTTTGACAAGAGAATGGAGCTTCAACAGGAGAGTGTTGCTATGTGAAGGGATGCATGGTTAGTTCGTAGATTTAATATTTGAATGTATCTCTTCTGCCATGTTTTTAATTAACATTAATGGGCAGCTGTTTGGCAGCTTTAAAGGACCCCGAGGTATTCGGCAACGTTGTCCTCTGTCGTCATATCCTTTTATTCTTGCTGCCAATGAATTGTCACTTTTTATGCAAGAAGTTTTAAATGCAAGTCATTTGAACATCATCCAGTTGGGTCCCTCTTGCCCCCTATCCACTCTTAATGTTTGCAGATGATCTTATCATTTGCGGTAGGGCTGATAAAGGTGGTGCGAGCACTATTGCTTGCATTATTAATAAGTTTTTTGCAGCCTCTGGTCAAACCCCTACTTGGAATAAATCTGCTATCTTATTTAACATACACACTGATTATATCAAGAATATTTTTCCTACCCTGGATATGGATCTTAATGCTACTCACCTTGGCCACCCTCTCATAATACCAGGCAGGAATAGAGTTGCACCCTACAACTTCATCATTGACTAGTTTAAGGCTAAACCCAACTGCTACAATGCCATCAGACTTTCACATGCATGTAGGCTTACTCTCACTAAATTTGTGTTTGCTTCTCTTCTTGTTTACTACATGTCGAACATTCTCTTGAGTAAAACCACCATTGATAAAGATAATGATTCTAAGTCTATTTGTTTTAGAGCTTCGGATGACATCTGCAAACCTATGCATAAAGTGTTGGGGAACGTAGCAGAAATTCAAAATTTTCTACGCATCACCAAGATCAATCTATGGAGTAATCTAGCAACGAGGGAAAGAAGAGTGCATCTACATACCCTTGTAGATTGCTAAGCGGAAGCGTTCAAGTGAACGGGGTTGATGGAGTCGTACTCATCGTGATCCAAATCACCGATGATCCTAGTGTCGAACGGACGGCACCTCCGCGTTCAACACACGTGCAGCCCGGTGACGTCTCCCATGCCTTGATCCAGCAAGGAGAGAGGGAGAGGTTGGGGAAGACTCCGTCCAACAGCAGCACGACGGCGTGGTGATGGTGGAGGAGCGTGGCAATCCTGCAGGGCTTCGCCAAGCACCGCGGGAGAGGAGGAGGACTTGGGAGAGGGGGAGGACTGCGCCAGAACTTGGGTGCGGCTGCCCTCCCACCCCCACATATATATAGGGGCAAGGGAGAGGGGGGGCGGCCCCCTCAGATCCAATCTGAGGAGGGGGCGGCGGCCAGGGGGGTTGCCTTGCCCCCCAAGGCAAGGGGGCGCCCCCCCCTTTAGGGTTCCCCCAAACCCTAGGCGCATGGGCCCCAAGGGGGGAGGCACCCAGCCCACTAAGGGGCTGGTCCCATTCCACAAACAGCCCATAGGGCCCTCCAGGGCAGGTGGACCCTCCCGGTGGA